GGGTGGTGTGGGGGGGGGGGGGGGACTGTTGCCCTACACTAAAAAAAAAAATCCAGTTTTATTGTGCAGTTAACACCAGCTCCCCAGAGCCCCTCAGCCTCATTCGTTGCTGTGTCGGGGCTTGCAAGTTAAGTACCGGTTGCTTTGTGGGTTGTAGAAGCATTGCATGCACCCCCAGGATGCTGCACCCCCAGCTCCAGAGCTGGGTCTTGGCAGCCTCCTGGGGAAGAAGCCCCTGGCTGTGCTTCACCCCGGCATGCCCTAGAGCTGGTGCAAAGAGGGGCTGAGAGAACCAGGGCTGAGGATGCTCTTTGTGCAGCCACCGGCTGACCCTACCCAGGAACCTCCCCAACATGACGGGGTGCTACGCACCCTGATGTCTACTGAGGTGAAGGGTGCTGGGGCCAACCACCCTGTGCAGGGAACACACTGAGCCTGGGGAATGAAGTGGGAGCATGCTGGGGTCTATCAAGCTTCAGGATGGGGAGCCCACGCAGCCCGTGCTGCTCGGCTGGGACCCAGCAGCACTGTTGTCCTGGCTCCGTGCTCTGCAGGGAGCAGGGTCCCCCCCATGCCACCTTCCCTTTCCCATTGCTTCTCCAGTTCAATCTGCATTTAACCCCCGCCAGCCATGGGCTGGGTGCATATTGCAGCCTCCCTGGAGACAACAGGACACATAATACAGATGCATTTGGTGCTTGAAGAAAGAAATTTTATTTCAATTCCATAAGCAGAAGCACATGACAAAGCTTTGGTTACAGGTTTGTCTGTGCTTACGGGCAAATGGAAGGGATGATGCTGCTGCAAGAGCACAATCCCTTCGGCACAGTCACCCTGGGAATCGCTTCACTTTCAGTGACCATGGCTGTGGCCGTGACCGTGGCTCTGGTCCTGGACGTGGTCCTGGCCCTGGCCCTGACTAGCATGTGGATGCTGGTGGAACCTGTTGTGGGCATCAATGGCTACGAGGCTCAGCGTGGTCAGGAACTCGGTGAACTTCAGGCGACCATTGCGGTTGCGGTCTGCTCTGACGAAGAGTGAGCTTATGTAGTCATCGGTGGACATGTTAGGCTGCAGCAGGACAAACGTAAAAAAGTCAGTCTAAAGTACAGCGGGGTTCAGGGTCAGCCTGCCAGCCCACAGCTGTGGCACGAGGCTCGCCCAGCAAGGATTGTATGGTTTCAGGAAAACCTCAGGAAAACTCTTCCTCCCCTTTGGGAGGCTCTAAGCCACCCCCATGCCCCAAGGAGGCCACCACTTTCTGCAAGCTCTCGACAGCATTAGAGAGCTGGGCCACGCTCGGCTCTTACTGGCTTAGTGTTGTGGAGGAAGGGCTTGGCAGTCTCCTTGAGCAGCATGGAGAACTCGGTCCTGTTCAGGTAGTCATCTATGGGCCATTTCATGGCATACTGGTGGTAGATGTTGACAACACACTCCAAGGCGAGCTCCAAGTCGGTTTTCATCTTCCTAGGAAGAGACAGGCAGCAAAACATGAAAACCCCATCGGAGGAGAAGGACTGCCCTCTCCTCTGGGAGCCTCAGCCAGGCCCTGGCTGCCCGGCGGGGTTGGACTCATCCCGGTGGTGCTTCCAGCAGCACGAAGCCCGAAGCCACCATTTGGCAAGGACCTACTTACCTGCGAGCAGTGCTGGGGCTAACTTCTGCAGATGGTGGTGCACGGGAGGAGAGGAGCGGGCAGGAGCAGTGACAGCACGATGGAGGTGAGGTCTCTTTTATACTCTCCCTGAGCTATGATTTGTGACACCCTCAAATTTCCTTCGGGCCAATAACCCCAGGAATTGTGCAAGGCTGCGCAGCACGCCCAGGCGGCAATTTCTTGCCTGGCTCCCGGAACTGGCGGTTCCCACTGTTAATAAGGGAGGGGACGCATAAAACTCGTAAAGGCAAAACAAGGAAACACCAAAAGAGACATTTGCACGGAGTGAGCATTGTGGGTCCGTGATGGTGCAGGGGGCTTTCCCAGGAGCCAGGACATTCCTGCAGAGTTTAGGGATCTTTGCGGAGATGATGGAAGACAAATTTTTCTGGATTGTGTGAAAGGTGCTGGGTGAGGGTCTCTAGTGGGATGATGCTGTTTCTTCCCAAATGGGGGATGAGGTTCATCACTCCTGTATCTGCCCTGATGTTGTTGAATTTGGCTGGAGGTGTGGTGTCTGCCCCCAGCACACTGCTGCACGGGTGCTGGGGGATGGCCAATGCATCCCACCTCCCAGTCACCTCTCAAAGATCAGCAGTATTCTTCCTGAATCATTCCTTAACAGCTAGCCAGGGAGCCAAGACAGACATTACAAATCCAGGCATGCCAGCATGCCGGAAACCTGCCAGCCAGTCTTAGGAGGTGCCGGGCATTTCCCGGCAGCTGTAATTGTTGCCTGATGATAAGCAAGGACATTGGCTGCTTATTCCTGGTGTTGGGGGGATGCTGCCACTTGCAGGACACCCCATGGTGTTCCCAGTGCCTGGCGTGGGCTGCTAAACCCTGCATGTCTTGGGGGAAAGACAGTCTGGGGGGGTTGGTGAGGAGCCTGGGCCCCAGGATGCCCAAGCCCTTCACCCCAAGTCAGTGCGTGGTGGGACTGGCACAGCAAAAAGCCGGTGCTAGCCATTAAGGGTTTTAGGAGACGGGAAGGACAGCAGTGATGAAACGTCTCCCCATCAGCATAATCCAGGAGCATGAGGAACTGGTGCCAGAAAAAGCCTGAATTGCAAAAGAGTGAAACAAAGGGACAGGCTGTATGATGGAGGGAGATGGGTGCATCCTCCCCATAAAGGGAGCCACAGAGGGCTGATCAGCGGGGAAATGGGTGCGGTGTTCGTGAGACGTGATGGGACACGCGGTGAGAGGTGTGAAGGGATGTGCCTGTGCCACGTGGGGCGGTGGGAGGAGACGCGCGTGCGCCGTGGGGCAGGCAAGAAGGGACAGGCATGCACTGCGGGTCTTCATGCTGCCATTTGCTGCCCAACCTGCCACGGAAGCCACGTGCCTGCATGCCGGGAGCTCCCAGCACATGCCCTGCCTTGGGGCCCCACTGCCATGCCATGGCAGCCCACGTTCTGGTGCAAGAGCCACCATGGGGTGTTGGTATCTGCTCCATGGCCGAATGCAGCCGCGGGGCTGGGAATATTGGTGCCACGGTGACAGAGCCAGTGCAGCCCCGAGGGTGTGGCAGCAGGGCGGTGACAGGGCTGTAGGTGGATGCAGGCAGGCTGGGGTGCCTGTGAACAGCATCATGGCAGCTTCAGATAGTCACAGATCGGGCATAAAAAGGGCCAAGGGCTTGTAGGGGGGTCCCTTTCGTCCGCCTCTGTGATGCAAGCACAGTGCAGCTGCGTTCTCAGGTGTTTCACTGAGCCTGGAGGGATGGATACCTTTTTTTTTTCCCCCAATACTGATGCTTGGGTGAGTGCTGGATCTCAGAAGCTGGGGTTTGTGGAACAACCCCTACATCCTCCATTTTGGGGAGCAGGGGGATGAGCTTCAACCCCAGTCTCCTAGCAAACCAGCCCTTGCAAAGCTGAGGGTGCAGCGCCTGGGTGGGAGTCCGGGGCAGAAGGACAGGCAGAGCATCGCCAGCACCCAAAGGGATCCATGGATCCAGGGACATGAGCACCAGGTGCAGCACCTCACCAATTCCCTCCCACTCACCCCCCAGCAAGAGAAAAGAGTGCCATCCATGAGGTTTTAATTTATTTAAGGCTCAAAAATGATCAGAAACACGGCAACAAAACTTTACAACAGGAAATTACAAAAAACTTTACAAAAGGTCCTTACAAAAAGGACCCTGAAAGGCCCTCAGGGCTCCTCGCCCCACTGGCTGGCCCAGCTCTGTATTTGGCATTCCTTCAGTGCGTCACTGTAGATTGTGGCCAGGGCCCCCAGGAAGGTGGAAATTCACTTCCTCGTCTTTGTTACGGTCCAGGTCCAGTCCACGCCACGGCTGTGGGCAGCACGGGGATGGAGGGGAGCTCAGCGAGCGGCTGGGACATGGCCCAGCCTTGGGGCAGGGCGTGGGGAGCACCTGGGGCATCGCTCCTTCTCCACCCCGGGGGATGCTCTGCAACCCCCCAGCTTGCCCTGGTGCCAGCAGGGCAGGAGGGGGCAAAGCCCCTCCGGATCCAGCTCAGCACAGCCCCCAGCGCCTGGCTCTGAGCGGGCAGGGGGCTGCCCTGCATGCCCACCGTCACGCCACCCCGGGTGTTGCATCAGCTGGGGCCGGTGGCTGCAG